AGAGAAGGCTCTCCTCCGGGGGCCTGCCAGCCGACACTGTCTGGCTGACGGCATCTAAAGGAGGCCCACCCTGTGGGATCTCACCGGCCGTTGGGAGGAATGCGGCAGTAGGAGATCTCACAGGTATGCTGGCCCTAAGCCATGTAGGGCTTTAAAGGTAATAACCAACACCTTGAATTGTGTCCGGAGACCAATAGGAAGCCAGTGCAGCTCGCGGAGGATAGGTGTAACATGGGTGTACCTTGTTCACGCGGCTGCATTCTGGACTAGTTGCAGTCTCCGCACACTTTTCAAGGGTAGCCCCTTTAGCATTATATGATGGGAAGCAACTTCTATCCTTTTCCAATAAGGTCACAAATGGATATTAAACAAAGAAGCCTTGTTGGCATTATCCAAGGATCTAGATAGTCCAACAATCTTTTTCCAGTCCTAGATTGGAGGTGTTTAGGGGAAAACTGACAAGCAACTGACAGTGAGACAAACTCTCACTGGCTTTTTGCCCTCCAGGAACTGGTATCCAGAGGAACACAATCCTTGCACCTGAGGAATTTATTTAGCTACTGCAATGAAAGACGCATACAATCTCCCATTCCAGCAGCTCTTTATCAACTACGTGGACTAACGAAAAACGGGAGTATAATGCAGCAAATTCTGGAAGAATCTGAAATTTTCCACGTGACTGTCTACTAGGTCCTCTAAAAGCTGCTTATCCAAAAGACTTGAATACCTGTCATCTATAACTTGGCTTCATAAAAGATCAAGAAGTCATCAATAGCTTATCTCCCCAGCTTTTCATGGACACTTACTTATTGGAAGTCGGCGTAGGAACATTTGCCAGGATGGAGAAATTATTACGGACGCTCCTCAAGCTTGCCAAGACCTGTAGAAAGTCCGTATGGGACAAGAATGTTAAGAACTAAAGTTTGCAATGGAATAATCACAATTAACAATTTAAAAGTAACAAAGTAAAGGAGTCTTCCTCCACTTAAAAGAATTAGGGGCTGTAAAGGGAAGAGGGCGACTCGAACCAAGAAGATTCTTTCCGGGCCCAAGTGGAAAAGTATATGTGGTTCTGTGTTAAGTGTTGTTTCTAACAGGACACAAAAAGAATCGACTTCCTTTTCCATTCTTCCAACAGAGAAAAGCTCTAGATTTCTCTAAATGATCAGAGGCTCAGTACATTTTTCATCAATAGTAACAAGGAAAAAAGAAAATGTGGTCATGCTGATTGGTGCCCGGAAGAAACACAAAGAATGCTATCAACCTTTTATTCTGCAATTCTTTTCATCTACACATATACTGCTACTGAGAAGTGTGTTTTAAGGAATTTGGTTAGCCTCTAATACAGTGTTTCTCAACCTTGGCCACTTGAAGACGTCCGGACTTCAACTCCCAGAATTCCCCAGCCAGCATTCGCTGGCTGGGGAATTCTGGGA